TGTGCTTAGTTTTTATTGTATTCTGTTTCCTATTTGATTGTTATTTTGTTTCCTATTTGAGAATTATTTCCATTCCACAGGGTAAAACTRGCTAGGTAGAGATTAGGTAACATGACTGCAACAGTAAAAATAAGGAACAAGTATCAAACTTTTCTTCTTTTGTAGTCAGGCTTGCAGTCTGTGATATGGTGCAAAACACTTTGGAACAGAGATGCACAGAAAATGTGCCCTGTAATATTTGTTCACTATGTATTTTTGTGAATTTTTTTATTGGGGAGTGGTTAACARTTCTAATCAGTAGATCAGCAGTGTAGTGTTAATATAAAGTTTATAAAGCTTTTTTTTTTTTCTTTTTAAAGCAAAGTAGCCTGTTTCAAACAGTATTTTTGTAAGATCTTTAAAGTTCTGTCCAGTATTTCAAAAGTGTGTTTTCAAAGTACTGTGGTTCACTAGATAATATGTGTAATAATATCAATGAGTAACACTCCCTGGGAACTAAAGGGAATGCAACAGGAAAGAGGAATTTGAATTGGGATACTGGATGTCAAACAAATAATTGACGATAGCATTAGTGTCATCAGATTAGGGCTTTTGGACTAAAGCATAAGAATTGCAGRTGGGAAAAAGAGGAGGGGAGAGGCACCAAGACAAGAACTGGAAGACCATCACAGACAAATGCCTCACCAGAAGGAGAAGATAAGATAATATAGTTCGCAAGTGCTAGACATCTTTAAGAGGAAGATGTTGTGGTAACTTCTTTTCAGAACAAGCGAGAAACAACACGAAAACCCTGTTGCATCCTTTTAACTTGTTCCCATCAGTTACTCTTCTCTTGTCTTTGAACGAATTAAAGACTGTACAATAGTTCAAAGGTGCAATGTAGGAAAAGTGGGAAACRTGTGTTCAGTAAAAAACGTGCAAACACTGGTGTTATTCTTTAATCAGTGGAGTAAACCTGACTCTTTTTTTTTCTAGTACTTCTTATATAGTATGATTTAGACTTATTTCCTGTTCAAATGCTTTTGTTAACTGCATGTTTTCTGCTGTCATGGTTAGAACAAGGATGAGCCACCCGTATTTTAGTGACTCAGGGGATATTGTTGATGCCAACAAATACATATTCTTTTTCTTCACTCTCTTTTAATTCTGTTCTGCACTTTGAGTCATTCTTGTGATTCACTCTTTAACACTTTTTTTGGTATAGATTATAACACATTCAGTCTAGCATTTTTCTATTGGCAAATTGCAGTTGACATTTATGGAAAGTCATAGCAATGTTTTTAATGCTTCTTCCAGCATTGAAATAACACCCGCTTCAAAATGTGAGGCTTCCCTTTTTATGCTGAGCTGCTGGTAGAGCATCCTTCATCCTCCAGGCAGCTCCTGTGAAATCCAAAGGAGCTGGTATTGGATGCAGACTGCTTAGGCTCTGCACCGTGGCCTGGAGTTCCCTTTCTTAGTGGGACGTGTTCAGTGTTTGTGGATTTTGATGCTCTACAGGTAACTCTGTATACGTGTGGCCCCTTTCTTTATGCAAAAATACCTTGACTGTTTTATTCATGATTTAAAAAAATGATACTTTGAAATGACAGGTCATTTTAATTTCTTCAGTTTGCAATATAATTTAAGCAGGGAATTTCTATTATTAGACTTCTGAAATAACCATAGTTTATTTTGCAGACATAATACATGGGATGACTTTTGTCTTGTGTGTGTGCTTTTGCTTTTGTGTGGTTTTGTTTGTTTTTCCTTCCACTTTCTGTTTCCGAAGGTGCCAGCCTTCTCCAGTGAGCTTGGTCTGCTTTCTTGCCAAGTTTTTGCTTAGCTCTCTGTCTGGTTTTGTATTGGTTTAAAACATTATGTAATAGAATTATTGTCTTCCTCATGAGGAGGCAGTACAGTACCCACCTTCTAGGCATGTGGATGCATGAAAAAAGGTATGATGGAGTATAAAATGTATAAAATAGTGTGACCTAATTCTTTTATAAACAAGTATAAAATGCCTGAAGGAGCCTGAAAGGCTGTGGAGGATTATGCAGGAATATGAACGAGTGTAAGATGCTTTGCCATAAAGTCAGGACAGTTTGGCACCATGCGTCCTTCTGGGTTCAAACTTGCTGAGAAGATGATCCAAGAAGATGAAATTTTGTAACTAAGATTAACATGAATACAACGGGAAGATAAATAGTCATAATTTTTCACACGCGCACACACACTACACTCAACAGCCTACTATAGTACTTAGATACTTTCCCTACTTGAGTAGGGAGCTTGGACTAGGTGATCTCTAGAGGTCCCTTCCAACTTTAACTATTCTGTGATTCTATGATAAGAGAGTACAAGGGAGTACAGAAAAGTATAGGAGTGTATGAAGAGGTATAGTAGAGTACGAAGAAGCCTGAAGGAGTAGAGAAAAGTATAATATAGTATGAAAGAGTATTCATTTATCTCAAATAATTTTTAGCCTAAATCTTAYCAGTTCTGTAAGAAATCACAATCTTAGCTGATAAGTGACTTGCCTTTTCCTTTATTGTGCTGCCAAAATTGTCACATTTTGTCGTCTACCATAGCCACCTGGCTGGCATTGCATGTGGCATATTAATATGTGTTGCTTTCTCATGCTTTTTAGGGGTCTTTATATTTCACCTGATACCTTTTTTTTTGTTGTTGTTCTCAAGTTTCAATTTCTCAAGTAGTGGGAAGAGAAATGTCCACAGAAACTCAATAGACTACACAGAGATCCAAGCATACAGTGGTGTGACTGCCCTGCGTTTGCACTTAGACTGTACCACAGCTGACTTTTGGTTATTTTTAAGATTTTAAAGCAAACCTCAGAGAACATGCAAGCTTAAGTCCCTGAGATTAAAGAAAGCTAGTGTGGCTAAAGGAGAAAGAAATATTTAAATTGATGTATGGTAAGGAAAGGGAAAGTAGCAAACGAGCAAACAACTTAGAGAAGCGTATCACATGCATTGCTGACTTGTAACTTCTATTGAGATGTATAGATTGGGGTTTTTTTTGTATATTTTAGATATGTATATAATRTATATGGGTTGTGTTGTATTTGATAAACGTTTTCAGGAGGCAGAGGAGCGAGAAGAGGTGAGCGCTAATTTTGTAGAGTTTTTCCTAGGCTTTTGCTTTGTTTTTTTCCTTTTTTTTTTTTTTGTTGATTTGTTTTTCTTTGTTTTAAAACCTCAGCTCCTAAAGTTGTGATTATGTGACACTTTGACTTAGCTTTATGGTAATGAAGGGAATTGGGGGAAAAAAAACTTACATAGACTCAAATTGTAGAAAACAAGAAGTTGACGTTTATTTTAAATCAGAAAAAATATTTTCTAAACCAGCTTCCTGTTATTTTAGGCTTGGTTCCTGATCTYTATAGGGTTTGGGCTTAGAACTGCACATTCAGGATGGCAAACAGGGCAAGAGGTCCGTAATGAGAGAATATGTGCAGCTGAAATAATGAGGATGGAACAAGGAGCCCTCGGCGAAGGGGAAAGAGGGTATTCAGCATAATCATAGAAATTCCTCTGTGGTCATAACTTTAGGGTCGCAGGTGCCACTCAGACAGAAGTGGCAAGATAGGAGTGTGTGGGTGGGCAGCCTAGGGAGGACGGAGAGGAGGAGAAGTGAGAATTACTTCAGAAGAGACAGGGAGTGGAGTGGGACTTGTTGGGACTCGGTACTACTGTCTCCTTCTAGGCAGTTACAAGTATCGGTTGCCCCATCTGTTGGGACCTCATTCTGCCCTCGCTGGATGCTGGGAGAGCTGGTTACAGCTTGGTTGGTTTCTCCTGTGGGTGGGATGCACTTACCTGCCGGGCAGCGCTCACCACGGCTTCCCGGGAGCATGTCCGGCTGCCCAGCGCGCACCGGGAGCAGGGTGCCCTCCTGCAGCCCGAGCCTCCGGCACGCCTGGGAATGGCAGCGAGACCTGCCCTGCGCCTGGCACGAGAACAGGTCAAGGGGCTGCAGCGAGACGGGGTGCTAGGAGGGAGGGAAGGGAACCAAAATCATTGGGTGTGTAGAATTCACGAGCAACCAGTAGTTGGCTTGGAAATCTCCTTCATACCTGCTGTACTGTGGCCCGTGAGGAAGCACATGCTGCGTTTTAGATCTTTCCTAAGAGTGCTTCCTAAGGAAGTGCTTCCTAAGTGCTTCCTAAATGCTTCCTAAGGAAGCATTTGCTATTGCTGTTCATCTGTGGATTTTTCAGAAGAGAGAACTCAAGTTTCTTCTCATGCTCCTTCCACCTGAACTGGTCTAGACAGGATGGGTTATTGGGATGACAGGAGTGGGGCTTGGTGCTCCTCTTACCTGGTTCCTCCTGAAAACATTGCAGGGGCAGGTGGCAAAAATGAGGTGTACCAGGTGAGAGAGGATGGAAAAAAAAAAAAAAGAAAAAGAGTGCAGATGAGCTGTGTCTAGCTTGCGCTTAGCAGCAATAAAAAAAAGTCTGTAAATACAGAAACTGTAAGAACAGTTGCTTTCTGCTGTAGATTATTCATTTCAATAAGTAGAGCCCACAAAGCCCAAATTGGGGCGGCTCATCAAGTCCTTCTAGCAGCMGTTGTGTTCAAGAGTTGGCTCCGACACTTGAACGGTCACTGGGTAGTTAGAGCCCATCTGTAGCACCAGGCTCTCCACAGTTTTTCTGCTGCACTGCAAAACTGCAGAACATTGGGCTGTTTCTGGTATTCCCTTAGTTGAACAATGGTGGTTACTGTAGGGCTGACGTGCTTGTTTAAGTTTGTTATATATGAATTTTAATGTTTAATCATTGGTAGCCAGAAATTGTAGAGTTTTGCTATAAAAACACAATAACTATTTCTCGAAAAGAAAAAAATCAAGCTTTTGTATCCTTTTACTTTTGCCTGTATCCTGCCCACCTCGGAGGATTTACTAAGTAGAAGCACTCCTCTGAAAATATAAATGTTGTCTTAAGCTTATACCATTATTCAAGAAATGTTTAACATAACCCTGTCATTTTCTTATAGTGATCCAGCTGCCACAGCGCTCTGGGAGTCCTTTATGAACCTCAAGCAAAAGGAGGCTGTGATGGAGGCTAGGAGACACCTTGTGGAGGCTGCAAGCAGGGAAAATTTACCTATTAAGATGAGCATGGGTGAGTAGTGTGATGTGCCCTTTGCATGGATCCGTGGGGAACATCATGTCATCTCCTATTCTTCCACCTAACCCTCTCTGTAGTGCTGCAGAGGCATCTTTGCCAGCTCATCTGGGGGAACTCTGTGGCTGCAGGAGGATCTTTCTGCTATGAAAGGGAGTGTGTTTTAGAGCTTGGGTGCTTTGTTTTAAGTGAAGTAGCTTTAAAAAAAGATTGAGACCGTATATAAAGCAATGGTGGTCTCTGAACAAAGGCGTGTGAAGGTGTGTGAGTGGTTAGCAGTGCTGTTTGTCTTCTGTTCCTTGTCTTTAAAATGTTGGYGGGACTCCTGTCCTCTACAGACAAGAATTATAGATAACAGCTGATCGGAGGAAATTTGTGCAGATCTTGTATATAATAACATGATAGTGAGGTTTATGTGGAGTGAGGTTGCTGGTCTTGAGAAAACTGAAGTTAAAAGTCATGTCTGCGCTCTATTTAAAGCYGAATTCCTTGAAATATTAAAGGTATAGAATATAAAAAGATTCTTTCAAACAGCTTTTTGGTACCTTGTTTTCATTATATGCCATATATAATGTGAATATGCGTGATTAATCTCAATTAATGCTTACAAACATAATGATATGTAGAAAAGATCGTGATACAGARCAGTTGAATTTTATGTTGAAGCCTTCATCAAGAGAGAATGGCCTATGGATCTCATCACAGAACAAAAATAATTGGCTTTATCTGGGACTCCAGAGTTAACTGCCAAGATACTGTAGAACTATTAGATGTACAGCCAGCTCAGCTATAATATTTCATATATTGTATGGTCTTTACRAATTCCTAGAGCATACCTTTAGAAGATTATCAATCAAAAAACAAGATCTGTGCAACAGTAATCCTGTAAGTTGTTTTAAGAAAACAGAGCAGCTATGAGCAGGCTATTAAGAATCTGTCTGAAGGAAAGGAAGCACAGTAAGTGAGAAAATCTAGTTTAAGCTTTCTCTTGTAATGCATACCTGCATATTCACCATAATAACATTTAAAAAAGCACTGTATTTCATGTATTCTTTTTTTTTAAAAAAAAAGACCTTGTTAATGTTGGAATTAAACTTTGTTTTAAAAATAATTACTTCCTGTCTTTGAGATGTAACCATCCATTTATCCATTTGCCACTTTTACTACTTTGCTAAGTGATTAGATCAGCCTCCTTTTCCTGTGTTCTCTTTCCATGATATCTATGGAGGTTGCTATAGCCCTGATCATTAATAATATTAAGCTATTTTCTCTTTGATGGCAGCCTGAATGTCTGACATATGGCAGTGATAGCACACTCACTCCTTTGGAAAATAGGAGAGTTGATGGTAAAATAAATGTGATGCTTGAGGCTTTCTCCATACTTGAGACTTCACTTGCTTTGAAGGATGAAGCATAAGCTGAAGTGTAGTTATAGTTTATTAAGCACTTGTTTGTCACTTATTCTGTGAATTTTGTGTTTGTCTTGTACTGGCATCAGTTTTCAATTTCATGGTTAGCTTATAGCTGGACTTAGTGAGAAAAAAACTGGAGGCAGTCTAGTAGATGATTACCATGATAAAATGAGAAATGAGGAAAGGAGGGCGGTACAGCCACCAAAATCACGACTTCTTATTGAGTATAAATGCAGAGAAGAATGAAATTTATGCTAAGATGTTACATTGTCCAGTGCTATTTATTAACAATTCTTTAGAACAGAACTACTTATTCAGAGTATTCATTGTTCATCAGCCATGCTACAGAGCATCCTGAAGCCCTGCAGGGAAGTGTTGCTTATAGATTGCTTCATTTGCTGAGAACTACCAATTCTGGCAGCCTGCTCCCTTACCAATGTTGTATGAGCTCGATGTGTTTGTGCYCAGTCAAAAATGAAAACGCTGTGGGAGAAGGCAGCACCCGCTGGAGTGATGGGAAACGCTTTCTGTCCTAACAGTCTTACCTTGATTCCTGCWTATAATGGAAGATGTTGGCAGATTCCATACTGTCTGTTGTAACTTGGGAGTTAAATGCTGGTTTTCCCAATACTTAAGGTGTTTCCTGGTTGCTTTATGGCTCTGTCTAGTACCAAATGTTGCCAAGACATCACTTTCTAGCATGAAAGTTGCCTCTTACCTTTCAGAAGAGCTACTTCTAGTAAAAGGGAGCAAGAATATATATATATATATATATTTATTTATTTATTTACTTTTTGCTTTTTCCCCTGTGGAAATGAGGAGTGAGCTGCATTTGAAAGCAAAACAGAATTCTGTTTGTGTAGCTGGGCCCTCCTGCAGTGGCCACCTGTGTGAAGAGCTGCATCGTGTGTGACACTGGCAGCAGGCAAGTCCTGCTCGGCTGTGAGAAACCTCGTCCTGCTCAGCCTTTTCAGAGCAAGGGAGAAAACTTCAGCCATTTTCTGGGCTCTGAAAAGCATGGAACTTTTCATTATTTTGAGGTGTGCTTGCTGAATTATAGCAGTTTATGGATTGTAAAGAGAAAGAGGAGTGAAGTTGGAATTCCTTGTTCCCGACTCYTCCATTTTTAATGGCATTTATATGATTTTAAAGAAAAGAGAAGTGAAGAAATGAACAATTAAGGCCACATTTTTGATCCGAGTGAGGTGAAGTGGTGATTTATATATTAATTTTATTAGTGATATCCACTAAAGTGGCAATTGAAACGTCTTGCATGTCCAAGAGTACTTCATAAGGGCTCAGAGCATGAGGCAAGTAGCTCAAGATGGGGTGAGTGGAGCTGGCCACATCCTGTTGAAAGTTGTGTCAGGCTGGCTCTTGGAACAAGCACAATTTCAAATTTAAAAGCCTATCCCTGTACATTCATTACCATTTAATCCATTCCACCTATAGGTCCATAACATAGTTTAGGGGTTTTTTTTTTAGGTTTAATTTGCTGGAGCTTACTGATGTTGTCAGTATTTACTCTTGGGAAATACTTATTTGCTGTTGCTTGCTGATGTTGGCATCTTGAAAGTGCCACTGCCCTAGGGGAGGCGATAGCCCTTGCGAGTGGTGCTGGTGGTGGCGTCAGGCTGAAGGTGCTGTGGGAGACGTCCTCCTCCTGCCTAAGGAGGTGGAGGCGCCTAAGGCAGCGTACAGCTGCGTGCAAACAGTAGGTGGAGCTGCCTTTTGCAAGGAGCCTAGTTCTAAAAACAAAACAAAAATAAATATTTTGAATATTTCAGTGTCATATTTAAAGAATCTTAGGAAGAACGGAATCAGCACCATTTTGCCTCTGAGGCAACTGCGTATTTGTTTTGGATACACAAGTGGATGCTGATAAATATCTGGTGAATATAAATACTTGTGAAGCCCTGTTTAGATGTCCCATTGCGTAAACTGCAGGGGTGTTAATTATTTGGGCGTACAAGAATTGCCAGCATTTACGGAAATTTATTTTCTGTAACGAGTTCAGTTAGTTTTTTAAAAGGTTTTTAGAAGACAGTCTGGAAGGTTTTTGTAACAGTGTTATGGTGAGATTTATGACATTCTGGTAMATTGAAGTGCGATTGTAAATCCTGGGAAGGGATTACTTGCGCTTAACTCTCAGGGTAAGCGGCCSTGGTGCGCTCTGCTCCGAGGGAGCAATTCCTTTGCTATCCCTGTGCTTCCTGTTCCCTCCTCCATAGGTCTGGTATGTATCTTAATCATCCGTTCAACGTGGCGRGCGCGAGGCTGCTGTTGAAAGCTTTGCACTTAGCGTAGCACTTGGCAGCGAGCAAGACTTTGCTGCAGATGTCTATGTGTTGTTTCGACGCTAGACTGGCTTTTCTGCTGGAGACGGACACAGCAAACCCTGGCTGTGCCTGAATTCCTTCTGTGTGTCCCTGCACTGGCYTGGAGTCTGTGGAAGGGGCACACGCTGGCACAGCAACAGCGCCAAGGCGCTGCCCGCCCTCCCATGAGCATTGCTGGTAGAAAAGCCACCAGTCCTCTTTCTGTTAAAACTGTACGGAATATGCCTTGCATTCCACTAGTTGTTTTTTTGTTTTGTTTTTTATTTATATATATTTATATTTTTATATGTATATATATATATGTAACAAAATCTCTGGCTTAGTGAAATAAAGGTGACCCCTGTATGTTTTTGCAGTGGGCTGATGAACTCCTTGAGTAGGGATTGAACTGAACTATGGACCTTGGTTAGTAGGAAAGGAGTGATCCTCATGTTTCGCCTTGGAGATATGTTAGCATTTTGCGTGAGAAAGGTGACTTAGCAGATAGGGAAATGCTGGGGAAATACCTTATCTAAAAACATGAAATATGCAAAGAATATAAAATGGCGTTGTTTTAATGCTTTGAACTGTACCAATGTTTTGCATGCTGTTTCATCTTGGCAAGATTAATGTAAATATATACATGACTCAGTGCTGTCAATTCCTGGGCTGACATACGAGAATAAAAGCTTGCCTCTGGTCCCAGCTTTCCTTAATCCCCAGTGTGCTGCCRTTAGGCCAGCGCAGTGGGAAGGCGAGCGGTGAGACCGCAGCAGGAGGGAAGGCCGCGCCGCACTCAGGGCAGCCTGTTAGGCCCAGCTTTGCTGCACGGCTCCGACAGGGAAGGCCGCACATAGACCAGGCTTCTTCTGCGTGCTCCATGTGCGCCTGGCGCCCTGCCAGGCAGGAGGACGGGGGCTTGTGGACGGCTCCTTGGGGACCTTGTGCGTTTCTCCGTCCCCTCTTCGCGCGTTTCTCCGTCCCCTCTTCGCGCGTTTCTCNGCGTTTCTCCGTCCCCTCTTCGCGCGTTTCTCCGTCCCCTCTTCGCGCGTTTCTCACAGCAGCGAGGAGAGCGAACGGCGGAGGTTGCAGCCGCCGTTTCCTGCAGTGCATCCTCCCGGAGCGGGCCCGCTCCGGCAGCGCCTTGGCTGCCAGCAGGAAATGCTTTAGTTCCATCTTAACAGTTGATCTGAAGAGTGGTGTGGSATCCCGCTGGATTCTCCTCCTAGGATGACTGCTGTGCGAATGGTTTGGAAATGGCCCTGGG